TTCGTAAAGTTGACCGAAGGTATTACATTGGTTGGTGTGGGCGATTTTGGGAAGCGAGAGAGATTGCACCACTTGGTACACAGAGCTGTTCCAGAGTTGAGCCGCTCATCATGTTCCGGCTGTCATATTCGCGCCGTTTCTACGAAAAGGTGCGAGCGGATGTACTGTAGAATATTTCGTATCTGCAGTGTTAGACAGCGCTAGCAAAGGTCAAGCCGGCCGCTTTGCCCGCGTGGTGCACCGAGGTTGTTGCACAGCCGCATCACTGAAGTTGTTGCACAGTACATAGTATGTACATTGGACCAGAAATCGCTTAGGGTGAGGGATAAGCTGACTCCAACCCCAAGCCTAGGCAGCAAGCGGAGTTTTTGCAGAACACCACAACCTGTTGAGAAGCACGATGACCACTACACCACTAGTCAGCGCTGACTAGTGGTCATCGTGCGTCTCAACACAACCTTCCGCGCTATTGGAGAGCTAAGGCTTCTCCTCTTTCTTTTTCTCTACATCGTAGAACGCCCCTTGTACTGTAGGTATACTAAAGAGTATGGCATTCTTCAATATTCCGTTGCCACGAACGGTCTGTGGGTGCATTTGGCTCCGCACAAGCGATAGCGATTGCATGACTCAGTGCAGTATGTTACGCCGTCGAGCTGCTCATCATGTTCGGGTACTTAATACGAGCAGGTGCCGTTGCATCAGCAATAAGTGTCTACCGTATCGACAGAGTTTGTGGGTAACTGAGCGTGATTCTAAGCCGCATGGCCGCGCTAACTAGGTATATGTAAATTAGACGGTAGCAGCAATTTGAGAAGTATTTCCACAACAGTGCGACCGTCCACTACCACGTCACCACTCACAACGCGCGCTGACTCTGCTCTCCTCCCCATTCGTGGCTTAACCGTTGGCCTTCAGGCATGCCTGGCATCATGGATTCTTCCGAAACTCGTTGCTGCCCACTGGTGGGTGTGTCTGAGATTCGTGTTTGGTTTGCCGTACGTGAATAAACAGCAACGAGGCTCTAACTAGCTTGCCATCGTTTGTAATATCTCCTACACACGTACTTGTACGGTGGTACAGTAAAACAAAACTGAAGAAATATATACGTCGTCCTCGTTGGACAGAAAGAGAGTACTCCCGACTTTGCTTTTTATCCCGTACGCTTTCCGAATCACGTCTTCTCCTGCATGGCACTCCATATTCATCACCTCGACTGACTTTGTACAGTACTCGCCCACTCGCATATTACGGCCTAACAAAAAAATGCATGAGGCCTCAACAAAAGTCGACGTTCTCACTAAATGGTCACCATGGGTGCGGAACGTGCGGTGGTGCCGGGTGCGGGTCTATCGACATGGCATTAGTGGCTCCTACGGTGGTAGGAGATGTGCCTGAACACGCCGAATCGTCGGCCTACTGCTGCACGTCTGGCGTGGACGACATGGGCGTCATGTGTGGGACTGGACAGGGGGAGGGTTCCCCTCCTTGCTTGATCCCGGCCCCTGGTGAGTGTTGTTTTCTTCGTCACATTGAATCTGGGATGATAACAGCACGTTTTGGTCGTCGCCGTCGATTGTTTCGTTGGTGTGTTCTGGTGGCTTTGGAATTGGCAGTGGCTTTTGGATCTGTTTTTTCTGGTGATATGATGTTGGTGCTCTACTGCATTTCGCGTCGTTGCTAGCGTTGATAGGACCAGGGGTGGGCTCTTGCAAGGTGTGTGGACGTGGGGGGAGAATTTACCCGCGGACGGAACGAGAATACTGTCAGTTCTTGTGGAAGGTGTTCTTTTTCCTTCAGGGGATGTTGTCGCCTGTTTCGCACTTGTTGCGCTAAATCAAACAACGCATTGTCGTCCCCCAAAGTGCCGTACGATCTTGCTACCTCTAGTGTGCAACCTGATCGATAATTCGGGTGGCTCGGTTCTTTGTGGTTGGAGCTCAAAGCGGGTGGCTCATGGCGGAGCGTGGATGGGTAGGAAACGTGTTGAAAACGTAATGCAAAAGTATTGTATTCTTCGGGGGGCGTGCTTGCGCTCGTAAATCTGTCACGGCATCAAGCACGCGTCACGCTCATCACGGTTAAAGTACCAAACAGACCTATCCGAATCTCCATCAAACTCTTCTCACTTCCAAGGAAAATGTCCAGAAAGTTCTGGACCCTTCGTACCCCATCACTGCAATTTCCGTAGTTATGTGTACCAAAGATAACCCGTCATACTATGCTACGAGTACCCCCAATATATCTAATAGCCCCCCTACTCGTATGCATCGTCATGCTCCGAGAAAAACCAAAATGACCCGTAGTCGACCGTACCACGAAGGCACGCCTTGTCAGCAGTCCTGCTTACTTCAAAACAAAACAAACCATCAAACCAAATTCCTCTTTACCATCTCTCCAAAACAATCAAGAAAATTCTCAAAACAAACAAAAACCAATATCTTCGCTACTTGGCGGGCTTCCGCTGCTTGGCGGGCAGAAAATTCTCAAAACAAACAAAAACCAATATCCTCCGCTACTTGGCGGGCTTCCGCTGCTTGGCAGGCAGAAAATTCTCTAAACAACAAAAACCAATATCCTCCGCTACTTGGCGGGCTTCCGCTGCTTGGCGGGCAGAAAATTCTCAAAGCTCAATTCGTCTACTTTCAGTCATACGGAGAGTTGCAGGGTGAGGCACTGCACCGATATCCCCTGATGAAGTCTGGAGGCGACCGGCCATGGCAGTCGCAATCGCGTCGGCCAGATCGTCTGCGGAAGGGTTGGGTGTTGGGCCCCCAGGTTCTTGCTGGTGTGGTGCCTCTTGTTCTTCATTTCCTCGCCGGAGATCTTCTGATCTCTGCCGCTCGGCTCGATGCCGTACCCCCATCTCGGCCATCTTCTTGGCCAGTTTCTCCTCCATCAGCTGCTCCATCCGAGCTGCTACTCTCTCGTTGATTGACCAGTTCTTCGATCCTGGCGTCCTCCGCTGCTTGGCGGGCTTCCGCTGCTGGGCGGGATTCATCTTCGCGCCTGGTGGCCATCGTGACCCTGCTCTTGATCGCCGCAAAGCGATGCTCCTAAACCAAGCTCGACCGCGAATCTCGTAGACGACGTGTCATACGCTAGCGTGATCGATAATTCGGGTGGCTCGGTTCTTTGTGGTTGGAGCTCAAAGCGGGTGGCTCATGGCGGAGCGTGGATGGGTAGGAAACGTGTTGAAAACGTAATGCAAAAGTATTGTATTCTTCGGGGGCGTGCTTGCGCTCGTAAATCTGTCACGGCATCAAGCACGCGTCACGCTCATCACGGTTAAAGTACCAAACAGACCTATCCGAATCTCCATCAAACTCTTCTCACTTCCAAGGAAAATGTCCAGAAAGTTCTGGACCCTTCGTACCCCATCACTGCAATTTCCGTAGTTATGTGTACCAAAGATAACCCGTCATACTATGCTACGAGTACCCCCAATATATCTAATACAACCTACTTCTACCTCAGCTGCTTTGTATCCCGGTAGCTCGTGAGTCGATCCTGATTGATGTGCAGAGAGAGGTGTCGGTGCCTGGGAGACCACTACTGGGGCACCAACACGAGTTCCATGATTTCGGCTGAAATACCCACGGTTCTCGCATTTCCAGACTGATGTTGTGTGCTGCTATCGACTCATAGACACGTAATCCTTTTAGTGCCCGATCAACTTCACAGAAAGCGGAGACGAGAACAACACCAACCGTATTCCACTACGGCGGGGCGATTCCGGTTAGAAACTTGCAACGACCAACGCAAGCAATATCTTGCCCTCTCCCCCCGCCGTCCAATATCTTTCCTGCGCACTCCCCCGAACAGACAGCGGCACAGTGTGCAGTCCATGTACAAGATACAGCGCACTAGGCCCGCCCCGTATCGCCGTTGCAATATGTACACTACAAGCGTGTTACGATACCGTGTAACCCCCCTCCCCCACCACCACCGTGCTGAGCAGCCCTTGCTGAAGACACGTGCCACGTGGAAGGTGTAGAGGGCGTGTCGCGCGATGGTGTGCACTGCTGTCCCCTGGGCTGCGGCCAGTGCGGAGGAACCGGATGCGGTAGCCTCGACGAGTCGCTCATCTTCCGTGATCCTGAGAGGGAACTCCCGGCAGGCGCCGGCACTTCGTCGTACTGCTGCCTGAGAGCCTTCCATAGCAATACGGCGGTTTGCGGTGATCTGGGCGTCGAGCCTCCCTGCCTTATCCCCGAAGGTGGGGATTTTTTGGAGGCGGACAGCCTGTTGTCAGAAGCGCAGAGGTGAAGAAAGGCCTCAGAGAACCTTGCTGTTTCTGCTAGAGAGAGAGAGAGAGAAGAGGGAGAGAGTGTCGCCATGCCGGTGGGGTCGTCGCCCTAGCGCCGTATCACATTCCATCTTGGACCCCAGAGCCCCTGCAGATCAGCACCGGGTGACGTATCCCGGACGGTGGTGGATTTGTTGCTATAACTGAACTACGAATAGTAGGATATATTGCGCGCCTACCTGAGGTTGTTACCAGTGTTTCGCTTTCCATCCTTATTGCACAACTCGTCAGTATTTATTGACGGAAAACCTCAACGTCACTGTGACAGTTATTTTCTGCTGTTTGCAATTTGTTAGTTCCATTCGAATCTAACCCCCAGTCGTTTCTCATGCGAGCTTGGACGTGCAAGGGTTCGGCATATTTCGGGTGGATACCGTCCACCTACATCATGGACTCAGAGACTGCTGTCTTTCAAATTTGTTGACCCGTTGACATTCTTCCATTCAGATTTCTTGCGTTCCATTAGTGTGCTGTTGCTTTGTCCCAAAGAGGTACAACGTTTGTAAACCCCACTCGCCGAGCACCTTCTTTTCAATGTTGGGACTCCCAAGAAATGATCGGAAGCGGTATCCTGGGAGCTCTACAGCGAGTTTGGTATTCTCACCCCCCCTCCCCCCCCCCGCTCCAATCTTGATGTTATCCGCGGGATGGTGGCCGAGAACAGGAACGGTTCGCCCGCCGGTCGTGCCTGCGGATGATGATGGTGATGGTGGTGACGGTATCGATGGCACTACCGATGGCACTACCGACGGCCCTGATGGCCGTGTGGGCGATGCAAGGGACCGCCCAGCCCAGCCTTGGAGGCACCATGACGGTGAGAAGAGCACTGCTGCTGCTGCAGGCCGCTGGTGTTGAAGTTGCCAACATTGGTGACGATGTTGATGGTGATTTGTGTTTTCGTGGCCATCACGGGCGTTGTCTTTTCCTTGATTTTCCGTCGCTGCTGCGCTTGAACACGTGTTGGTGTGAAACCAGGGTGTGCTGTTGTTTTTCGTGCAAGGCACCAAGATATATCAACAACAAGTTAACAAACAGCATATTATCCTCAACCTATCCCCTCGTTTCGATATCCTAGGTGCACAAAATGCACGGTCTCAAACCTTCCGTTGCCTGTTCTTCGCCCCCTTCCGCCCCTCCTTCACCTAGTGTCCGCTCCCAACAGGCCGTCATCGAGTGCGAAGAAAGGCCGATCACGGCTCTCGCGTTAGCACAAGTGAGGGTGGGATTCTCCCTGCCGGAGAAGAGGGAGTCGGGGTCGGAGTTGGAGATGGCAACGAAGGGGGTGGTTTTGGAGACGAAGGAGATGGTTTCGGAGAAGACGGAGAGGGTTTCGGGGAAGATGGAGATGGTGTCGGAGATCACGTAGATGGTGTCGGAGAAGACGGAGATGATGACGGACAACAAGAGGACGCAAACAGAGACGGAGCGGGCGACCTCTCCCAACCCGGACCGGCGCACCGAAAGGGACACCTCCCCGACTGCTGATACGTTTGTCGTCATTTTTCATAGGTTCAACATGCCCTAGCCTGACTATGGTGTCCGAAAGACGTTGGAGCCATCTTCCCCGTTGCCTCTCCCTTGGTGTTTGCCTTGGGAAATGCCATCTTCAATATTCCCAATGTTTTTCGTTGCATTGAATTTCTCGAGTCTGTACCTACAATGATGTGGTAGGCTAGCTTCTGCGCTATTGATGTTGTCTTCACATCAAAACCGTTTAACGGTCTCTGCTCAGTATCTTCTAACGAATCGGTCCAACTGACGCGGGCGTCATTCGTGGTCATGGGGCAACCACCACCCCAAATGGGTGTCTTCTGTTTTCGTCTTAATTTATTATGGCGACAGTCCCCCCATTTGTCGTGGTGAGATGTGTACTACAATTTACAGTGTATTTTTTCGTACAACAACAACCATCCAGGGTCATACAGGACGAAAGAAACACCGGGGCGATGTCCCTCTTTTTATTTTAGTTTCGTGTCCCACCTACCTCCTGCGGTGCGTGCTGAATTTTTTTTTATCGAGAGAAGGGTCCAGCTGGCCGCCCCTTTCCCTCGTCGACTGACTGTGTTAACGTCGAAGTTTGGCACTCATGAGAGCTTTTCAACTTTATTCCGCGTCCACCTGCTCAGTTGCAATTATTTCACTCCAAAGGGGTTCGAACTCACGACTTCGCCACTAGCGGTTTCGAGGTTACCGCTCACTATCTATGTAGACCACCGGCAGCCGGTCGCCCCGGGGCGACCGGCTTGTTCGTAGTTTGGGGTATTGCACACGAAAAACAATCCACATAACAACAGCAGTCGACATTTTGTTGACATAGTCTAACGAGAGTGACTGGGAAATCATCACAAACGCGACGATCATGGAGCAACTGACGCGACGTCGAATCTATTTCATAGATCTAAGTTTTCCGAGCCAAAACGCTGCGCCATACGGTGTGATGCACGCGCACCGTCGGCGTTCACTGCTTGACCCGTCGACATCAGCGTTTCGATCTTCGCCCTTATCCGAAGCAAGATCTACAACGCATAGAAATCAGTGTACATATATGTCCAATGGGGGTAGACTTATATGTGGAAGCGGAATCCCTTGAAGGGAAGTACAGCGCGTATTTTTTGTGTCATATGATTTTGATCACGCGCGATGTTATGTAGTCTATCTTGGATATCGCATCTGCATGCATGCCCGTTCCATGGGGACCGTTGTGTTAGGGGATATCGGGATGAGAGGACCGCGAGCGCCGAGTAACTGCCACGCCGCCGGATGCATGTCACTACAGAAATCCTAACAACGATCCACAGTAATAGCTTAAACCAGGGTAAAGGATTCTGGAGAGCTGGAAGGGTTTCCCGAGTTTCCCCCGAACAGACGAACCCACCCTGTGAGTGGTGTGTGTGGTGTGGAGGATTCGGGGTATCCTTGGTTAATGAAGCGTCTTGATAATTTCTTTTTCAGTAGAGCGATGAAAGAGAGAGAGCCGCCGAGGTTCCAAAGCAAGAGTGGTGCATTGCGTAGAAATCAGGAGAGTACGTCAGCAGCTACGCTACATTGGAGTCTTTCGTTGGGGCTTGGTCGATTCTTTCTGGGCACAAACAAGGTGTACCCCGCGTTTCTACAGTATAGACTACTGCTGTAAGCGATACAATGTGTACAAGTTGTAGACCGTGTTGTTGGACGTTGGTAGCTGGTGATGATGCCAGACAAGATCGACCCGCTGCCAAACAACGCGTTCCACGCCAGAGAGACCCCAACGGTCCATACTCACGCCAATTGTCGGCCGTTGTGTACGATTTCGTTGCACACACTGGGCCTACAGAAGACGGCAACGAAGGATTCGGTATAACCGTGAATCCGTGGTTTGTGGAAGCGTACCGGAAATTTCGTGAAAGAGCGGCGAGAGACAAAAAAGGGTATACGGGGGTATAGCTATGTACAGGGTACAGAGAAGAGAGAGAGGTTGGCAGAAGCTTTTGGGATCCTTGGGAAGCCGAGGACCTCGAAGGGAAAAACGTTGCATCGCCCGCAAAGGCAGTGCAGCAAAGCAGCAGCGAGAGAAAAGAGTTTTCGTTTGGGACTTGATCGAATTTTGGTCCTAGACACGCCAGAGTGACGAACAACGGCAACAACCTGCAGCAGCAGCGTCAGGGTCCCCCCCAGCAGCTGCAGCCAGCGCAGCCAGCGCAGCCACCGCCACCTCCACCGCCACCACCGCCGCCTCCCAACGGACCACCGCCCGCAGCTAACCAACAACAGAGCAGCGGCGGCGGAGGAGGAGCAGCAGCGGCAGCTCCCCATGGTGGCGGACAGGCAGTAGCAGCAGGAAACCAGCCAGCAGGGGCGGTGGGAAACCAACAGGCGGCGGGAAACAACAATGCGCCCCCCGCAGCAGGAGGAGACCAGAATGCGGGCGGAGCCGCGCCAGCCGGGCTGGGAGGCCCACCTCCCCCCATCAACCCAGTCCAGCTACTGCTGCAGATGTCTGTACTCCTAAAAGAGCAAAGCGATCGACTCGGCAACCTGGAGCTCAGGATGCAGCAACAGCAGCAGCAGCACCCGCAGTACCAACAGCAGCAGCAGCAGCAACAGCAGCAACAGCAGCAGCAGCAGTACCAGCAGCAGCAGCAGCTCCACCAGCAACAGCAGCATCAGCAGCAGCCGCAGCAGCCTGGCCACCTCCCCCCTGCCGGCCTCCAGCAGCAAGGCCAGCCCCAGCCTATTAATCTCCCGCTAGGCGGCCAGCTCGTGCTACAGCCCCAGCAAGCACAGGCTCTGGGCCCAAATATTAACGTGTTAAACCAGGGCCTTAACACCCAGGTACAAAAGGAGAGGTTTCGAGGCGACACGAAGGCATGGGGAGACGAGCCCGCGGCGACGCTGTTTCTGCTGCGCGGTGGGTGGTTCGTTGGCACCACGCTGTCAAAGAACGCAATTGCCCAGCTGCTCCGCAAAGTGGCCTATCCCGACGCCGAAATGATCGATTCGTTGATGACCATCGCCAACGTCGATATCGCCAAGTTCTCCCCACCCCTCCCTACCGGGTGGACCCCGCAGCCACGCGACTTCATCGTTCACCTCGAGACGTTCGCGAAAGCGTTCTTCGCCGTGTTGGACCATGGTACACACGCCGCAGGCGAACCATCGACCGGCCGCAGGCAACAGTTGAAAGCCGAGATCAGCCGCATTGTGTCCAACGCCCGGGACTACCTCAGCCTTCATTCGGCGGAAATCATGGGTCAAGAAGCAGCGGTGAAGACGCGCCTGATCACCGACACCAACACCGACATCAACGAGTATCTCGGGAACATCTCAGACCTTGGCGCCGCGATCCGCGCCGACCACGACATATCCCCGCCGGCGGCTGACGACGTGCAACCCGTCCCCCCCCCTGCGTTTTCGCGGCTGCGCGGCCTCACCGCGGAAGGCAACGCCAACGCCATCGTCGGAAAGCTGAACAACGGCCTGGCCGGGCTCCCGCAGCCACAGAAGAGGAAAGCGTCAGCGAGCAGCGCCACGAGCGGTCATACAGCATCCCGCCCGCGGATAACCGCAGCACCCGTCGCCAACCAACACGCGGTGGCGACGCTGTCCCCGTTCCAGCAGGACCTCCTCACGTGGGGAACCCCCCACCGCGCGTGTCACTCCCACTGGAAAGGACAAAAGTGCACCCGCCCGCATTGCGCCCTCAACCACGTACAGGTTCACCCCAGCGTCGCCCCCCCCGGTCCGCCGCCCATAGCGCCAGTCCGGGCCCCCGGACCCGCGACCGCCCTTGCCCCTGCCCCCGCA